ACCATTCATTGGCTGCGACAGCATTTACCCTGGTTAGAATGGGATTCGCAAATGTTTCAGGTTACGAAGATTGGTACCAGCGATCTCTCGAGCAAGGCCAGCATGCCTGTGTCCTTTGGAGTGGAATAGCACAATGAATGCAATCACTATTGGCCCCACCTCGCTTCTTGCGGGTCTTCTGGCTCAGAAGTGTAGTGAGCGGCCAGATGATATGGGGGCAAACTAGGGAAATCGAATAGCAGAAAACGGAAGAAAAGCTATTTAATGCTGAATTTTTCGGGTGGGTGGTGAGGCAAACCGAAACTGAGTAAGCTGGAGTATGAATAACGGATGGTGTAACAGAGATGGTGGCAACCGAGTGCCTGAGTTCGGGTCGTCTTGCCGAATTCTAACTTGCCGGGAAGCTAGTTCCGGCAGCAGATACATATCTGAGGCACTCACAAGCAATGAATAAGTAATATGTAACAATATTCTCCTGCGGCAAGTTAAGAACATACGAGAAAAGGCACACTATGTATTGTGAATTATACTAACCAGAAAGGGGAAGTATCCTTCCACCAGGAAGCTCTAATTGTAACGATGGACGGGCTCAACAGACGCGCCCCCTTGTATTCGGCTCAAAGCATTTCAGCATGTAAGCGCCAGAGGTCAATGCCCGACGCCTTTAGGTTGCTTCGCTCTCGTTGGTTCACTAGATGAAGGTATCCCACATTGTGGGCCAAGTGAGAAAGCATGTGATGCTAGAACTACCCACACTGCTCAAAATAACTGCGCTGCTTGGGAAAGTTAAATGTAGTTTCGCTGCAGTGTAAGCGTCATGTGATGAAGAACAGCCGTAGGCGAAAGCATTGTTTAGGAGACGAGCAAGCTTAGTGAGTAATCGATCCACATTGCCAACGGATGTGGGCAGTTAAGTCTACACTTGCAGTTCTAGAGTAATAGCACACGCCAACCCACGAAAATGATCACCTGAGACTGCTGAAGGGCGCCAATCGCTCCCGCCGCACGGTTGTCTTTATTGTATCCATGCACAGAAAACAGGCACCCCTGAATCTGATTCGCCTTGCCTATAAAACCTAACTGCAGATGGCAATTTCACGAGGAAGCACACCCGGGTTAGGCTATCACAAGCTGGAGGTGGAGCGAATTATCCCAAGCTCTTCCTCTGGAAACTGCCGTGCGGCATTAGGTCTGCTCTTTCAAGAGATTAAGCTTCAAAGGCGCACACTGCCTCGTAAATTAGAAGGCAGCCATCGTTTGTCAGCGGGAGTCTCCGCGTCGCTTCAAGGGGAAACAGATGCTTCTCAAGCCTTGGGAAAGCGGAAGCCAGCCAGCAGCATCTAAGCAAACCAGTGTTTCTACGACTCATCTTTTCTCGTATCTTCTTAATTCCTTGTAGCCGTTTCTGTGTACGTCGATATTACCGCCTACAGACGAACACTGACTGTTGACAGTGTAATTTATGCACCGCCGACTGCACTTGCCCGCCAACATTAATCAATTTTGCATCAGTGGCAAGGCAATTCATAAGCCCTGGTAATCTCTTATATGTGTGAGGACAACCAGAGCATTCGATGGATGGTCAGGCTTCTTAGGCTCGACGGATGCAGCATCTTGCGTCAGTTGTCCTGTTTAACAATGTGCCGCAGCACGGCTCCGCCCTTGTTAGTGGTTGCCGTTTTTCCAAGCTAGGGGAGTTCCGAAAGTAAGTAGGGAGGCGCATTATACAAAAACAGCCGTACAAAAGTGAGTGGCGTGGGAGAAAGAAATTACAGTTGTGGAAACTGCTTCAAGCCGGCAGTTGCTCTAAAGACGCTTTGGAGCAGCGCAATCTGAAATGGCTGCAAGACCACGCTTGCGAAAAGTAGTGCGTTGCAAGGATTTCCCCACACGGGTGGAATTAAGCAGGGAATTACGGGCATTCATTGGACAGCCATGTCATTCTACAGAGGAGTGAGCCGGTGCTTGAAGGGTTTGACGGTCAAACGCAGACGCCGCTGCCCTCTTACGCTCTGTATTTTTTCTCAGCGCCTTCCAAGGGACTATTGTTAATTTTTATCTCATGCGCCCGCATGGGATCTCTAAACGAACTGCCTAACTCCAACTAAGCAACTATTATTTGTCTATCTTTAAAGCTTTTGCAATCCTGCAAACACTCCACTGCTTTATGGAGACAACACATAGGCGGTGGACCAACCGAATGCGCACAGCAGCTTTTCTTTTCATTTGCATTATCTTTGAAAAGATACCCAGTACTAAAGTTAACTGTAAAATATTTCCACGGGGTCACGAGCCCCATCTCGTTTCCGTTGAGCTTGCTTGTCCCTACCAGGAAGCGAAACACTACAAGCAATATATCCAGGTCTCTTGCGACATCTGATGACTTCCTGCCTGTTCACTCCGCATTCTCCCTCGCATTTGGGTACCTGCGGGATTGTGTCTTCGTACGTAAGCGCTCCATAATCAGCATCCTATTTGCTTAACGACTTAAAAGTTCGTCTTCCTTCCTCAGTTCCCCAAACACTTGAGCGTCCAATGGACGTTTGGAAATCAAGCTATGCATCGCTGTACGTGTTCTCCTTGGGCTTCTCTCACGAACGCTTTGACAACCAAACTGCCTGCGAAAAGCTCTGTGAACACCCGGGGCAAGGTCAATGACCAAGCCCCATGCTTGGTCATTGACCTTGCCCCGACGCTGACGACTCCGATGTTTCAGGTAGGGCGTGAACGCTGAGCTCGTGGTTTTCCACTTCAATAGGTCCAGCTGTGTCTCTAACCAGCAGAAGTCCTATTAGATATTAGTTGCGACAGAATCGATCATTGTCAGCGAGTTCCAGAGATGAAGTGCCCGGGCCTGTAGCCTCCGTTGAAGCTTATAGTCACTGGTCCTCCCATCTTGAAGCCCTTTTTGCACGCTATGTGCATACAATTCCATGATGCCGTTGTCTAGCCAATCTTCAGCATGCGGACTCTTCATCGCAGTAGTGCTGGCTGTACCATTATAGCTTCTCGCGGATGCTGCCAGAATCTTTTGTTCAGGGACTGATCGCAAGGAAACGTCAGACGCGGAGCCTAACTCATCATATGGTAACTTTTTCATTGCACTTCCGTTGTCCGCTGTCCTCGTTGTACTACATGTGAATACAATAGCCACGCCGCTGTACAGGATTCAGAATGAAAGACGTAACGTCCGGCGCTTGCAGTCCCCTTGCGAGCGTTAATAGGCAGAGAAGCAGTGGCGTCGCCTTATGGGATGAAGTGATGTCGAATTTGGGTGTTGTAATGTTCGACGCATGCGGTGGACGCGCATTGAGTCTCTTCGCCGGTATCCCTTGGTGTCCACTTTGTGTACAATTTGCCTGTGTGGTCCTTCCAAGTGTAACTGGATAAGGAATTTCATTTGCGACTTGCCGAAGTCACAGCCAGCGGGCATGTGCGCTCGGTTGAAGCTTAAAGCATGAATAGCGATGCATGCAGATGTCAGTTTTTGCTGTTCTTCCCATGATGGAGAGTGTAATCGCGTAAAAACGAGTTGAAATGGATCTGGGGAAGAGTTGCAACAGTTAGAGGTAGTGCCTGACGCTTGCAGTAGGAGACCATGACCTTCCTGAAAAGGGCTCCAAACCATCACCGCTTATGCTTCCTTTTGGAGGCTAAGCACGTCCCATGCGTCCGGGAAGCAGGTGCTTCTCTTGCGCCGCCTTCTGATCACCACATATGCATGGGATGCATTCCAAGTTATATCTCACTTTACTAGGTAAGCTTTGCCTGAAGCTCTCCACGCACCATGCCCAGCACATATTTTCAACGCGGGTCCACCGCGGACAACCGTGAGCTAGCACAGAATAAAAATAAATTAAGATAAGGGTTTCCAAAAGGGTAAGAGCTCTCCAAGAGCAGTTCACCTGCCCTCCAACCGCAAGGGGTCCTCGGCAAAGCTTCACAAAGGCCTGGTGCTGGTAAAACGGCTGCCTGCCGCGAGTTGCAGCGCACCTGGTTGCAACCCATGTTGCATGGTAATCCTTCGTGCAAGCATTCCCAAGAACCATTCTGGCGCACGGACTAACGCCGTACACAGGTAGTAAACGCTTCCCTGGACCTGAGCTCCTTTGCGGGCATCCTGGCGGTTCGCAAGCAGAAATACTTGTACCAAGTTCGTAAGTATCATGTTTCAATGCTCTTTTACCCTTGTTAGTGCCGAAGTGGTTCATCTTACCTTGCCTTCGAGTACTCGCACCGCGGTGCGGAGCAGCGAAAGCCTGGGGCGCTCTAATTGGAGACTCACAAATATCCAGACCCAGAAAGACAACACATCCAAATACTCGAAACAGCCCTAGTCTGAAGGTGGTCGTAAACCTACAATAGGATTGTTTATCTTAAGCCTTAACTGGCCCCGTTACTGCTTCTGAGGTAAAAGCTCCACAAGCGGAGCTCCACAAGGGGCGTAGAACAAGAAACAAGCACCCTTATTTTTCGATGTTGCAGCATATGGCCCACCATACCCACTGCTTTGTCACCAACAAACAAAACCAGTAGCAGCTCCACCATCATTCAACCAGATTCGTGGCCACTCCGCCGTTTTTTTGCACAGCAGCAAAAGGTGTCAACCACCACTGATTAACGTGGAAGGAATGTCTGCCCAATTCAACACTCGCAAATGCATAAGCATTTGTTAAGTATTGCTACAAAAAACAGCAAACTTGCAAGGCTTTGCCCCGGCCTCAGTATCAACAAAGCGTCGGTAAGTTGCGCGCATGGCGCCAAAGTCAGGCAAAAAGTTGTAAAGCAGAATCGTTGCACAAGAGCCCGATAAACAAACAGCAAAACATGAACGCACAGCTTTGGCTATCTTTGGCGGCCTTAAACTCAGGAAACCTTCCCCATTCCGACAAGCGTAAGCCTGTTTCACTCATGAGGAGACGGCAACAATTAAACACGCAACCACTTCGATGGAAGCATTCTGGCGAGCTTGTTTCTCATTATCCGTGCTTTTCGACGTTTCAGGAGAACTTTTGGGACCATTCGGAGTAATTACAACAAAACTCAATATCGTCCTGCACCCAGAGTTTCCACAAGGGGTTCGACAATTGGCTGCCTCTGTACTGTTGAGTAAGAACGGCCCTTTTCAGCTCGATTACCTCCATAACTGGGGGGCGTTTTCCTTCCTTATATATAGCCAGTGCAGCACTCAGTCGATTAACCAGCTTGCTGAGCTCTTCTGTTCGTTCCATCCTTGCTGGCTCACTTAAGAAAAAATCCGTGTCGAACTTCTTCACAAACTGAGCCCACCACTTGACAGTATTCATCTTTTCCCCCAGGAGCTCAACTGCGCATACCAAGTGGTCAAATGCCATAAACAAATAAGACAATTTAACAAATAAGTAGTTGGCTGTGCGTTTCTTAAGTGGACTTGACAGCTTTACTGCCGCATAGCTTGCCAATAGTTCCGCTTCCGTCATGAGTATCTCCACATCTTCAGGCGTCAGCGACGCCTTAGCAAATAACCTGCGCATTGTCGTGTATGACTGCATTGGGCTAGACCTACCAAAATGAAGCGACAGTGCAAACTGCTCACGGAACCTCCTGCGGACATCCCTCGGGTTTACCAGTGGTAGCCTCACAAAAGGATGCCGACGAATGTCCCCAGCCTCACACCTTTCCCCGCCTCCACTACTGGCTGCCCGAGCAGGTGTGGCGGCTGCGGCCACCTCCAAGCCATTCAAAGGATCATCGGACGCTTGTGCTTGGCGGTCAAGCTGTTGCACTGCTTTCATTTGAATTAGTGGCACTGCGCTGTCACGACTGACTCCTGTATGTGGGACTCTACGACCCATTCTACCTGCACGCCTGTCAGTTCCAAAAGAACCTTCATCAGTTGAATCTGGTGAAGCTGCATCCACCGTTGGGTTTTGCAATGCAGTGCCCATTACACTGTGCTGAAGGGCCTGTGGAAACATATTAGCTGAATGGTAGTCCAGCAAAGCCGCAGGATTCAGGGCGTCTTCACTGCTGGTTGCGCTGCCAACTGACGAAAAGGCCCCTTGCTTTGCAGTTACCCCTTGTTCATAAATATCCGACGAACTTGTTCGAGATTCTGATACATTCCACTGAAGCCCTTGCATTCCGCTCTCTCCTGCGGCCTGCCCTTGCTGCCCCTCTTCCCCAAAAACAGGCCATACCGGATCCGCCCGCCAGGCATCTGCACTAAAAGGGTCGGACGCACTGCCCACTTCCCCTCCACTACGGTCTGACCCAAATCTGCCAGCAGACACCCCTGGGTGCGAGGTGGACTGCCATGACTCATCTAGCCGA